TGACTTCAATGGCAGAATAGTTAGGCTGACACAGTATGCTTGTGAAAATCCTATCTCTATTAATTACAGTATGGTACTGTATGCTGAGGCGGTATTGTTGAATATGAATGCAATGAATTATATTATATCCGCATGTTACACACTTAAAGGAGGTGGAGGCTAAAAGTGGAAAATGGCGTGTATATTGTTTTCAGAACGGCTTAGCATCTCCCTTCTCCAAAACTAAATAAATAGAGTGGGGCACAAAATTGACAGGTGCAGATCTTTTCAGGGTATGCATACAGGATAAACTGTTGAAAGGGCAGGCCAATGATCTAGTGGCAGCACAATGCAGGGGATGAGAGTCCATGTCACAAGCTTGTTTTTTTGCTCACTGGGCAAGAAATACTATGGAGACAACACTCTCAGACCTTGGGGAGAACGAGCACCTAATACAGTAGTGCTCTTGAGCAATTTCCACTGCCCTCCATGATATGGCCAATACATAGGCCGTGTTTTAGCAAACCACTGAAGCAAGTACATAACTTCATTCCTAGTCAGCAAAGCACCTAAGCATCTGCTTACTTTCAACCTACGCTTTAAGTCCTGTTGAAGGCAAGGGAACTTAAACACATGCTTAAAGTTAAGCAAATGCTTAAGTCTTTTGCTGAATGGGAGGGACCTTTCAGTGGTTTTGATGCGCTTTAGAGAAAACAGCCCAGCCCTCCATATCCAAAGAAAGCGTTGTTGTGATGCAAGCCTCAAGGATGAGGTGGAAATCAGGGGGACTTCCTGAAGGAGCCGTCTTCACATCCACCCACCCCACTCTCCTGCCACTTTATATATTAACAGGCAAAGAAGCCACTGTGGTTAAATAGAGTTGCAGAGTGTAATAAAAGCCAGAAAGGATAGGACTAATAAAAATAAAAACAAGCTGTAGTCCTGACATTTGGAAGAAATAGAAAATAAGCAGAAAGAAGCTAAAACCATACTTTGACATTGAAGTACAAAGAATATTACAGCCAACTGCAGTGCATTCTTCAAATGCATTTACAATAGACAAATAAAAAAGGAGTACTTGTGGCACCTTAGAGACTAAGCAATTTATTTGAGCATAAGCTTTCGTGAGTTACAGCTCACTTCATCGGATGCAAGTGATGTTGCATCTGATGAAGTGAGCTGTAGCTCACGAAAGCTTATGCTCAAATAAATTTATTAGTCTCTAAGGTGCCACAAGTACTCTTTTTCTTTTTGCGAATACAGACTAACATGGCTGCTACTCTGAAACCTGTCAAAATAGGCAAATAGTACAAGAACTGTGCTCTACTAGAATTTACAGTGTAGAACTGTAATAAGCACATGTTTAAGTGCTGTTCCGGAATAGGAATGCTTTCCTGAATCAGGGCTGAGGACAAGAATGGAGAATCCCTTGAAGAGGGGTCAACTTGCTGACGCAGGCTAAAAGCTTAGCAAGACTAAGCATAGGCATAATTTTAGACAGGTGAGTAGTCTCATTAATTTCAAAGGGACTATTTATGTGCTTAAAGTTAGCAATGGGCTTAAGTACCTTGCTGAATCTGAATGTAGAGAAGGCAAAGGGCTAGATAGTATGCAGATTAGGATTGAAATATTTATGGAAAAATTAGGCACTCTGTGAGACTGTGATCCAGTCCAATGCAATATTTTCTTCTAAGTATCCTTATTGTCAGTACTGTAACTACACGGTAAAATTTTGCTCACAGGTCTAATGTGACTCTGAAATTCAGACTGACCCATTTCCAGGTCCAGATAACATTCAAGAAAGAATCATGAGTTTTAATGAGATGATGATAGAAATTTGCAATGATTTAGCTTACTTTTATTTTTTTGTAATTGTTTGGTGGTATGTGAAATAAGTAAGGACTTAAAGTAGCTTTATTCAAACAGCAAGCTGCTACCAACTGATTAATTTCATTTTTAAGGAGAGTATTGGAAGCAATGTTGTGGATTTTGGTATGGGAACACCTTGAAAAACATAATTCTACTGGCAACAGAAAACATGGATTTATGACAGGAGAGTCTTGCTTGAATAATTTTTTGGAACACTTTAGATTACTGCCGTGGTAAGCAATGGAAATGCAGCAAATTACAGGGATAGAAGAACCATCATGTAAAATCGGAATCTACTAGAAACTTTATCCTAATTTCAAAATGACCCTTGTTTGAAATTTGAAAAAGTTCAGATAATTTGTTTCTCTCTCTCTCTCTGAGGTAATTCTACAGTGCCAATTGCTACATTATCGAGGCACCATACTATTTTCCCCTTCTAATTATTTTTCATTTTCTTCTATATCTATGCTTTCTGGGTCTGGCTTGACCAGAGTCAGGACGTACCAGTAATCTAACAAGAATGAGTTCTTACGAAGTTTTCCTCAGTCTAGTTTTCCAAACTTAAAGAGCTTTGACTCAGATTGATCGAGTTTAGATGAACATTCAACCTTTTGGAGCTCCATTGAAGAGCCTTTAGATAACAACAAATCAGTTACCAAGGCCAGAAGGAAGGCTATGTCTACATTACAGCCTAAGTCAACATAATTTATGTTGCTCAGGGGTGTGAAA